TAGTGACTTTCAATGTGTCCCTTTAACTTGACCTAAGTCTATTTTCTCACCTCTTAACTCTTTGTTATATATATGCTGAGATTTTGAAACGGAATTTATCTTAATTCTTAAATAACTCAGTGACTCATCCTATTTAAGATTCACACGTATATAGTGCATTGTGTTGATTTGGATGTATAATACATTTAAATATATATAATGTATTTGTTTATCAACATAGTTGAGACAGATGAAGACCTTTCCTGCCTGTTGAGCCTAATTTACCATGTTAAAGTTAGATACTAGACATGGACTGGAATCAAATAAATCACATGATCGAAGTTGAATTTGGTCCCAACATTACAATATTTATAAAAAGCCTAAGTAACTAATCTCATTGTATTGGTTTTGTAGGGATTTTGTCTGATTGGATGGAGAATTTCATCATGAGCTGACATCAGTTAGAGAAGCACTGGAAAACCTGGGAGTACTGGACAGCTGTTTCGTCCTAGTTTGGGACTCCTCAGCAATACGCACCCATCCCATTGGGGTTCGAACCCAGGACTTTCTGGTTACAAGGCGAACCAGCTCGTATACCATTGAGCCACTAGGACCTGATCCAATGGCCCATGAATTGTAACTCCTGCTAATTCACTAGGACGAAACCGCTGTCAAGTACTCCCAGGTTTTCCAGTGCTTCTCTAACTGATGTCAGCTCATGATGAAATCCTCCATCTAATCTCATTGTACTTATAGACTAATATACAAGTTGGGTTACATATCACATGATGCAAAGTGTTTATTTAATACTACTTAAGGCTCTGACAGTAAATGCATGAGGCGAAATGTTAGTAAACTTTCCCAAAACACAAAGTTTTATTACTCAACTAGAATATGGACTTAAGTATTTTAGTGTATTTGAATTATATAGCAGCATATCGTCTTATACTGTCAGTCGGACTGTTTAATTTAAGATATAACTTCCTCCACTAATTGTAAATTATTTATATTATTATTACTATGGTTTCCATAAGTTCCGAGTAGAAACGTAAGGCTTCGACGGTACATCTCCATTCCATTTGGTTTCCCGCCATCATTTTCAACTGTTATCAAAACTGCTCACAAGCTTTCATGTTCCATTCACATGACCTCTTCTATGTCACCTTCAGAGTCACAACCTTTCGCTTGTTATTTGGGTAAGGTCAGTTGAAAGTCCCCTCAACGTTTGTCTATCCCATCTCTTTCAATACCTAGTGTATATTTGTCAGAGAATAGGTTATTGGGCATAGTTAAACAATAACTCCGATAATCTTGAACGCATGTTAGTCGTACGCTAACGACACCTGTCATTCTTATAGAGCAAATATGAACATTATTCATCAACTAAGGAGCAAATTTCACCCAGATCACATTTTTAAGTACTGCTTGCAAAATGTATTAATAGCTCGTTAGGGTTAGTGTTAGGATCAGAATTATAATTTGGGTTAAGATTGAGGTTAGGGTTAGTGTTAAGTTTTGGGGTTTCGATTAGGGATAGATTTAGAGTTGGTATTATTTATTTTAATTTGTTTTATTATCTACATTTTCTTAGTTAGTAGTGGTCGGTCCTCTTACTGGAAACCTTAGTAATTCAACCGACGGCTTCTGGGAAAGACTGCAAAACAGGATAAGGGTGATAAATGGATCACAAAAAGAGCTCAACTTAAGTCACCTCGGTGAATACATCTACAGGAATTGGTCTAACTTAAAAGCTGATACTCCTCACTATAACTGGGACGTATTTTTAAGTCATGTCAGAGAAAGATATCCTGTTTAATGTATTTTCACGCATTTTCTTGTAAATAAACGTCATTTTTGTGCAAAAAGCACTTATTTTTAATGGTTGGCCGACTCAAGGTCACTCGTGCATTCGCATCATTTGGGACACTGATTAACTTTGCCGGTTGTTGGCTACTTAGAGTTGTTACAAATTCTGTGCTTTCAAATAATTAAAGAAAATTGTCGGTAGAGAGCTTGAATATATGTTTTTTTATTCCTTCACGTTCCCAGTGGAACATAGGGCTTCAAGCTAAAGGCTTGAAGTTTCTGTACCACTGTTTATTTTTACAGGATGGGGTTGCTAGCCTCATGACCAACCTCTCCTCTTTACCAGCTTTACTTCTGGTCTAGCGAGGTAAAGGAGTGCGTCGGCCGGGGATCGAACCCCGGACCATGTGCGTGGTTGGCGAGCGTCCTAACCGCTGTGCCACCAACGCACAAAACATATGTGTGGAGAGCTTGAATCACTAAGCTACTTGTATTTGATATCTAACACAATGCATAGGATTTTCTGTATTTCTCAATGTTTTAATCATCCATTTATGTTGTCAGTGGGTGACCAAATGTACTCATGTGCACATTTTTAATTGGTTTTCAACCTACTACTGCGCATATCTCGGAGACGAAAGAGAAATACTATAAGGGATTATGGCGAAGTTAAACTGTCATAGCCAAAGTTAACGTCTGTCAAAGCTGACCTTCGAGAACCAATCAGATACAGGGAATGCTATGAAAGGTCATTTGAAATCAAATCTGGACGTGGAGAAGGCAGATATAGTATTCCACGTTTTCTCTAGGTGCTTTTTCTGTATATCTGTACTGTTAGTTAGGTCTATGGCTTTTTAGATTATGGTTTAGGGTTAAAATTAGGTTTAGGCTTAAAGTTAGAATTAGGAGTAGGTTGGAGAATAGTGTCAGAAATATCAGTGGATCTCAAAGAACCATGACTTACAGTCACCTGGATGAATGGGTATATCGCACATGGTACTATCTCTCTACAGATCATCTGTGTATTGACTGGGAGACAATCCTACAACACATAAGCTACAATTATACAGTGTAATACCATGTTTGCAATTTTTTTAGTGTATTTTTCAACGATTATGAGACTTTTTTATATCTGAATTCTGATTGGTTGTTCAAGGTCACTGCTTTTTTGGCTCTGATAGTTTCACTTCACTGGGAATTATTTTATTCTTCAAAATTAAACAGCACTGTGTCTCATGATATGCTACAGATTGTTATTTTACTTAGAGATCCTGGATGAAGAGAAAATATTGTGCAGTAAATTACGCTGAGAATTCTGTATATTGTGTAGATATTCTGGGTAGAATGAACTTTTTATTACATTATTAGTATTAGTAATAATGCAAACTATTTGAGTAGAATAATGTTGAGACCTATGTCACTCTATAGGGTGTTAGCATTTGTTTCCATATTGTGTTACTTTGATACTCTTCTATTTGCATAAATTTGCTACTACGTGGTGCCGCCAACAATTATACACCTCATCCAGCAGTTGTACGACAATGCTGCATGCCAAGTAATCCACAACCGGAAACTCACGGAATCTTTCGAAGTGAAGACGGGAGTAAGACAAGGAAGGCTGGCTGGCTGCCTACTATCTCTAATGATTTTCCTGATTGTGGTAGACTAGATAATGCGACAGACAGCGGGCTGGGCAACGAGGAAACAGGCATAAAATGGAACCACACAAAAAACTTGGAGGATCTGGACTTCGCCGATGATATATGTCTGATTTCCCACAAACTGGAAGATATGCAAGTGAAAAGCAACAAGTTGGCAGAAGAAGCATCTAGGGAAGATAGGACTCCAGGTGAACATAGAGAAAACAGAGGTAATGAAGATTCCTGGCCAACAGCACCAGCAACAACAACAGACAACAATCAACATAAATGAGAGAAATCTGAAAGAAGCAACCTCCTTTAGTTACCTGGGAAGCATAGTTTCAACTACAGACGGACAGAGCTGATAAGGATATCGAAGCGAGGATCGGGAAAGCAAGGCAAGCGCATTTATCAATCTCAAGTCTGTGTGGAGGTCAACAGCACTCAGCCTGAAAAATAAGATCCGGATTTTCAACTCCAATGTGAGTTAGTGCTACTTTATGGATCAGAGACTTGGCGCGTCATGAAGAGCACTTCGAGCAAACTACAGACCTTCATCAATAGCTGTCTTCGCCCAATACTGAAGATCAGATGGCCAGAAAAGATCAGCAACAGGGAGGGATCTCTGGGAGTGAGCCAACCAACCAGGAACCGATTGTGCAACAAATCTGCAGGAAGAAATGGAGGTGGATTGACCATACTCTGAGAAAACAAATCATCAAGTGAAATCACACGCACAAGGCCATTGCTCGAGTGGAACCCGAATGGGAAGTGGCGAGTTGGTCGTCCTAGGGTGGTGTGGAGGAAGTCATGCGAAGAGCAGATGAAAGCACGTGGGCAGACGTGGAACAAGGTGAAAACGTTGTCGGAGAACCGAACGCAATGGAGACGGATGGCTGAAGCCCTATGTTCCTCTAGGAACTAAAGGAAACAATAATAATAATATCTGCATAAATTGTATAGAAATGTGTTAGTTCGAGTTAGGCACATTTTGTAGTAGGGGAGATAAAGAAGGATTACAGAGATATTTTGATCTTACATTGAGTACTATAGTAAGGGGATGATGATTATTCAGTCAAGCACTCTACACTCTCCTGTACTGATCAAACTGACTTCCAAAGACTTCACGTATTAATATTGTACCAAATGGCTGTGTGATACATCTAATAAACAAACTAATATCGGAAAGCAATGAATGAGAAATTCTTCCACAGACACCAGAAGCTCTACTTACGAAAACCACTGTTCAAAGAGAAAACTGGACAACCTGTAGTCTCTTAAGAGATTTACACTGAGATGCATGGCAATTAGACTCTGTAAAAAACATCACAAAAATATAACATGAGATTATAATCTGCCTCTGTGCTAAATTTCTGTTGTCAACTCTTAATGAGAGACAACATCTCAGCTTGCAAAGAGAAAAAAGGAAATAACTTCTATGGTTATCATACCTGTAGATCACATATTCTCCTGCCCATATTATTGGGCACAAGGATAAATGTATCGATTTTCTTCTTCTGATAATAATATAGGAAAAACTTTAAAAAACACTGGTCAATAACAATAACAACTAACCATCATTCCCAGAACTATGACGTAAAGCTTGTGCATGTTCAGCTATTACTTGACTTCCGACATTTGACGTCATAATGAATATAGCATCTTTACAGTTAATTGTTGAACCACGGCCATCAGTTAGACGCCCCTTTAAGAAACACAGAATAAATCCAATGAAACTTCAGGTATACACTAGGGGGAAACATTATTTTTATTGGCAATACAATACCTTCATCAGAATTCATTTACACTCCTAATCAATCTTTTATTTCTCAATGAAAAGTTGAGAAAACTTAGACGGTATCCATAAGACAAAATCGTTTATTATGCAGAATACACTAGGTACTGTTGGTGGTTTATTTTCAAAACGTTGAAGTCAGAATTTATTAGTAGGGACATAAACGTTTTTAGAAACAAATCCTTGAGTCATAAGGTTACCTAACATTGGTGTTATACGTTAGACCTTAAAACCGTTTATGTATAAGTCTACGAACAGATATTTCAACCATAAAACCCCTATATCTAACAACTCTTAAAGCGAAGTTACAGTATTATGACGGCTAGACAAATATTTATCAGCTTGGGCAGAGGAATAACAAACATTGGTGCAGAATAACATGCATCCATTTTATTTCGTTGGTTCTCATCAGCTGCGTACAAACTACAATCTTTAATAAAATGAGTCAGTGTACAATTTTAACATACTCTTTGTCTATCAACAGACATTGTAAGAGGTTGGTGGCGTATCTGAAGTGTTACAGTATATATATATATATATATATATATATATATATATATCAGAGAGGAGTTTCTCGGAAAATTCACGAAAATCAGTTACCGTGGTGACTCATACCTTAGTAACTCTTCGTTTTCTATTGTCATTAACTTATCTTTTCACCTCCCCTTTTTTACGTTCGACTTCAATAAGAGATTATTTTTTTCCCGACCTTCTGGGTTCTACTCACCATATTACATCATCGTTTTTTTTCATTTGACCTCTTGCACACCAAATTTTGATAATCTCTTATGTAACTACGTAATTATTACTATATTTTATTACCATCCTAGTTACACATTTGTCAATTAATTTTTCGCGAAACTCCTCTTTATCAATATATATGTATATACACACTGTATTACTCCAGATACGTCACCACCCTGGTATTTATTTCACTACGACGCTGTTACAATATGTCTGTTGATAGACAAAGAGTATGTTAAAATTGCACACTGACTCATTTTATTAAAGATTGTAGTTTGTACGCAGCTGATGAGAACCAACGAAATAAAATGGATCCATGTTATTCTGCACCAATGTTTGTTGTTTCTCGGTTTAAATTTATGAAAGGGAATTGTTGTATGCGAATATTTATCACTTTTTAATCTCAATGAGAATGAAAGAAAAAAACATTTATTCGGAGTACGTCGGTAGTACAATGACAGAATGCCCGCCAACCATACAGGAAATGTAGGTTCGATTCTAGACCGATGTACTCCAAAAACCTGGTCTAGCTGACAGTAATTCCGGCAAAGAGGGAAGGTTAGGCGTAAGGATAGCAACCCCAACTTGTAAGAACAACCTCACCTGTCTTAAAACTCTAAAACCCTGAAGTCAAAAGTTACAGTAGGAAGGCAAAGGATGAAAAAAGTAAATCAAGAGTGTCTGTAAGACAGGTGAAATTATTATGTAGCCTGAAAATAAGTTATCTTCCGAATTCCCTGATCTACGACTCCAATGTTACCGTAAACAAGGATATAATCCGGACAGTAAACAACTACTATAATTACGACTAATGAGTCTTTCAAAAAGTAAAAATTATCACAATATATTAATGCTTTACGGAGAATTATTTCGATGAATATCACTTAGAATATCGTATTTTGTTCAGCTAAATGGTCGTTAAAAATATCAGTTATAAGCCTTGCAAGGCAAGGACTCAAATAAATCCCCTTGGATAACCAGCTTGATACAATCAGAAAAGTGTAAGAAAAACTCCAGCGTTTCCAGACATTCACATACTAAAATCATTCCTACGCCTGGCATAGTCATTACCGTTGTCATCCTTTCGAAGGACAGTTATTCAAAAGATATTTATGGCCAAATTTTCAAAGAATAGAATAGACATTAGACACAGATTATGGCGTAAAAGAGTATTTGCATCAAATTTCTTCATTCGTCTAAAACAGTAAATAAACTTTTAAAGTGATAAGTCTCAACTTGAAATATTCCTATCCTATCACCTTCCTTACTTAGTCAATATTGTTTTGAAATAATAGAGAAGATTTGTGGCTAATGGGGATGATTTGAAATTAATAGTGTTCTCTGAGCTGGTTGGTTTGGTTGTAAAGATGGTTACCGGGAGACGCAATTATATCACTCATGAAGAAATTTAAATCATTTCACTTTATGCTAAATATTGCGCTGAAGATGTTGTCTAGAAGGACTACGAAAGCTCCGCAACCAAACCAACCAGCTCAGAGAACACTATTAATGTTGTTTTATGAGATGTTACATGTCACATATATAGCTACGCGTATATACTTGCACTAAGTAGGCAACCTCAATTAACAGACTGGTTGATTCATTAATTAGATACGAGAACAGTCAACAAATCAATCTATGCAATGATTTTCTTTAGCAAATAACACAACAATAAAACGAGAACTAACTACCACTGAGAAGTAATAACAAGAGAAAAAACATCATTAGTTGAGTAAAATAAAAGAACTTTTAAGTGATAAACACATGACTTAAGTAGAGTGAGTACATTCATCACATGAGTAAGGTAAAGAATTTTTATTAGATAGATAAATACAATATTATAGTACATCCTGGTTTACATAAACCCATTTCTACAACAGCTAAAATAACAGAGAACAGTACTAACTTAATATGATGGTTTTCACATTAAATTTTGTTTGTACTGTTCTAAAACTTTAAAACATATTCATCCCCACATTGTAAAAATACTACCATACGATGCACTTATAATTTTCAAGGATTTCAGGGTGTCCAACAAGATACCTGGTAATAGGAATATTCGAAACCTTTCATCCCTTGAATTATACACTTTTTGGTATATGTTCAAAGAATCAAAGGTGTGCCTTTCATTCTGTTCTCCTAATGCAACTACTACAACAAATACATATAATTTTCTAAAGTTTGGTTTGTAAGGGTTAGTTATGTTTTTACGAGTTGATCATGGATTGATATCAGTTAGAGAACCATTGAAAACCATGGAGTACTGGACAGCTGTTTCATCCTAGTTTGGGAATCATCGGCAGTACGCACCCACCACAGGGTTCGAACCCAGGACCTTCCGGTTACAAGGAAAGCTAGCTCGCATACCATTCAGCCACTGGGACACGACCCGATTCAATGGCTAGCCCATGAATTCTAACTTCTACCAATTCGTGATTTAGCGCAACCCCAACCAGTGTCGTTGGTGGGACATCCATCCACACACGTGAAATCTAATTGGACCTCACTAGTCACGACTTCTCAGTAGAACTCCAGGAAACTCCATCCTGTAGCAAGTCACTAGCGAGCATCAGATTAATTTTCTAAAGTTTGGTTTGTAAGGGCTACTTATGTCCAGTACTCCCTGGTTTTCAATGGTTCTCTAACTGATATCAATCCGTGATGAACTAGTAAAATACATATAAATTTGTATAGGAAATTTGTTTAAACATGAAGCTGCTGTGTATAAGTTATGTTAATGTAATTTCTGAACACTGTTTATTAGTTTTGAAGTATATCCTGTTAACTGACATCATATCACCTTTACAGGTACAGTAAAATTTCTATGTACATATACTCAATTAAATTGTCTAGGTTTTACACAGCTGATGTGCAGCCATCTTATTCTGCATAAACTGTTGTTATTGCTTCATTTAAATAGAGCGAATGAGTGACTAGTTTCAACTATAGAACTTTACACAAAAGTACAGCATTTCGAGTCGCCACACTCCATGTAGAACACAAAGGAAGACAAAAGAGAGGAAAAAAATACATTCAAAAGAACAGTAACAAGCAGAAATGTGGAGGAGAAAGAATAGTAACATGGAAAACCAATATGCTTTAATTGGATATAGCAGATCACAGAGAGTGGATGCATTCTCACCATTGAGAACGATTTTGGGCCATGTCTATCAACTATCTCCAGTCATTGCTTCTTGGCTGAAGCGTGGCTAAGGTCAGTTTAAATTGTCCCTCAAAATAATTCCTTCCAGAGTTCCAGTCGTTTATCCTGAGAGCTTATTACGGCGGCATTATTCAAATGGATAAGCTTCAGGGAAATCACTTACAAAACCACTGTCATAATTTTATAATATACATCAGAACTAGTGAAAATATTGGCCCGTTAATTTACATCATTAATAACAAGTAAAAAAAATTTAAAAGCGATTGAATATAGAAGCACAAGCAACGACCTCCGTCTACCAAAATGAACAGTATTTAGACTTGTTGTTCGCTCCCCTCCCCATATCACGAGAAATTGTGCATTGGCTTCCACTCTATTTGCCAGGTTTCTGTTTACATTATCCATCTCAGTGTAACTTGTCATTCAACGTCTAGCTAACTTCCTATACTCAGACAATTAAGCTGTATATTTCTAAATTTTCGTTAAAAAAATAGAATATGTAGATGATGTAGTCCTTCTAGGTGAAGACGCTGACAAAATGCAGAGTCTTCTGAACATTTAAAACAGCAATCTGAGAATGTTTGTCATGCGATTCGCTCCCGTCAAGTGTAAGATGATGCTACAGGTCTGGACTAAATCGACTACTACTACCTGAAAGGTAGAGAGTGAAGTAGTAGAGCGTGTTGACTTCTTCACTTATTTGGGGTGTAGCAATAGCCAACGCCAGCGGGTTGATCGCTGACAAAATCTCAGCACGGATACAGAAGGCTCGTTCTGCATATGTCAGTTACGCTGTCTCCGGCGTAGACGTGATATCCAGCTGGCTGCCGACCAAAGGGCGTATGTACTGCTCAGCAGTTCGCTCTGTTCTCCTTTATGGCTGTGAGACATGGCCATTGAAAGTGGAAGACATGAAAAGGCCGGCTAGCTGCCTTTGATCATAGGTGCCTGCGTCCTATCTCCTGTGTGAAGTGGTATAATAAGGTGAGCAATATTGAGGTTAGGCATCGGTCGAGTGCTAGGTAAGGAGGGGAAATCAATAGACGAGGTTGTGAAGTTACACCAAGTGAGATGGTTAGGACATGTGTTACGCATGTCTAGCCATCGCCTTTTTCGACGACAGGCAATGTTAGCTGACATGCGATGAATCAGGTTGGAAAAGAGCCAGTGGTGGTCAAATCAAAACATGGCATCATCAGTCGATGGAATCCACAATAGTTAATTTAAGCCAGTCACATAGGGAAGTGTAGACTGGCCTCCTGGTTGGGGCCTTCGGGATCGTAAAAATCAATGGCTGGAGACATTTAGTGATATGGCTGGCTCAAAATCGTTCTCAATGGCTAGCGCAGATGCATCCACTCCTTGTGACTTATAATACCCAATAAAACTCTACTGTTCTTCCATATTACTATTCTGTCTGCATGTATTTCCGTTTATTATCTCTCTTTACTCCCTCTTTTGCTTTGTGTGCTACATGGATGGGGAGTTTGGCAACTCGAACTGCTGCCAATCTGTGTAGAGTTCTACGTTGAAACCAGTCAGTCAGTCAGTCAACTTTTCACAAGTATATATACTCTTATTGGAGAATGAGTGTAAGTGATTTCGTTGCTAACTTATCCTTGAGTTTGTTTAAATGTTATCTCAGATATTAAAACTGAACGCCTTACGTGGTTTTTTACAATGGTTAAAAGAGACTGTGTGTGAACTCTGAATCTATGTTAAAACCTTTCCTACCTCTGTTGCAGTCACTAAGACTAGTCCATTATTCACAAGATTCATTTGATCTAAAGCTCCACTAGTTTCTTATATTACCGTGTCACTATGCTCTTTAAGGTGTATCTAACACATGGTATTACTCACCACTACAATATTCAACTTCATCGCATAAATTTTCAAACCACATTCAACTTCACCTGTGATTGTATTACATTCACATCACGATATAAAAATTATAGCGTTTATAAATTAAAACTAGCCAACTCCTAGCGTGTGTAACATAAATATGAAGAGGTAGGTTCAATTGGATAGTGTGCATACGCATTGTATATAGACAAAGTTTTATTTTTTATTAATTAATGTGCATATTGAAAAGGCTTAATAATAACATGTTTGACAAAATGGCCATCCTACATTATATAGCGTATATGTGTATGCGAAAACAAGGTGTTATACCTATATACTATAGTATATACATTAAAGCCATATCGACAATATAGTCAGTCAAGATTGAATCGAAGTGAATAAGTCGAATGAAATGAATATTTATTTCACTAAATATTTGTGAGAATTGTTTACATTAAATAGACAAATAACTAATTTTAACCGCAATGGTTATGCATATAAAAATAATGAATAACGGTGGGATAGTGGAAGTGCATTCCCCCTATTTTCTCTTCTTAAAACCTCGGTCAAGTAGGATATGGCGTTTGATAATCATGAAGATTGCTGTAGGACTCCATATTTAAGTCAGTCAAAATGAAGTCCTGTTTGATATCTACAATTACCATTCGTATGTGATCATAACGAACTCATATATCCTCTAAAAGTGTTATTGCCTTCATTGAATTGTATGCAAGAGAGAAAAGTAGATCACTTTTTGGCACAAACTATTTTTAAAAAAAAATATTTGATTGCTACACGGAGCTATTCTCCTCGATAAGCTTAAATGTGGTATACCACTAGTGTTATAGAATTATCTATCTATCGAATTGACTGACATGGTGGGATTAACAACATGAACAAGGTATACGAAATAAAGTTAGTATAATATATATACACAGAAAGAACGACAATCGTAGCCAAAAATAACACAAAACTAGTGAATTTAATGTGTTATTTTTTATTATTATTAAGACATGTGTGTCTATATGCTCGTGTGCATAGAATGAAACTTTGATAGAATATCTATCTATCTGTCTAACTCATTTTATAGGCAATAAAATAATCAAAATTTATTAATTCTATGTGGATTTTCGGCTTAGTTCTATGTAAAACATGATATACTTTCTATAAAAGCTAACTACTATTTTGTTCATACTTTAATCACCATTACAGATTATAGTGAACAACGTTCGTGTTTTTATTGGTCTCTCATCCATCTTGAAAATGAAGTGTGTCAAACTCTACTGCTTGTAACCTCACTTACATTCTTCCAGGTGAACATTTTTTCACTTCACATTTGGTTTAGATATACAAAGAACATTGTACCTTTATCACTACTGAAATGAATCTGTAGATGGATTGCCCGTTTTTCTTAAAAATAAATAGTAAAAATAGTCTATGCAGTAACTGAAAAACACTCAGTTAATTTCCTCTTTTTACGAGTTGATCACGGATTGATATCAGTTAGAGAACCATTGAAAACAAGCAGGGAGTACTGGACAGCTGCTGTTTCATCCTAGTTTGGGAATCATCGATAGTACGCACCCACTGCCAGGGTTCGAACCCAGGACCTTTCGGTTACAAGGCAAGCTCGTATACCATTCAGCCACTAGGACCCGATTCAATGGCTCATGAATTCTAACTTCTACCAATTCGTGATTTAGCGCAACTACCAACCAATGTCATCGGTGGGACATCCATCCTCACACTTGACTGGATGGACCTCACTGGTCATGACTTCTCACTAGAACTCCAGGAAACTCCGTCCTGTAGCAAGTCACTAGCGAGCATCAGATTAATTTTCTATCGGGTGCGTACTACCGATGATTCCCAAACTAGGATGAAACAGCAGTTGTCCAGTACTCCCTGGTTTTCAATGGTTCTCTAACTGATATCAATCCGTGATCAACTCGTAAAAACATAACTAACCCTTACAAACCAAACTATAGATAATTTCCTCTTGTTTGAATAATGCCATTGTAATGTTCACTTTGCGTTAAAATACAGACATTTTGGATATAATCTTAATCTTACTTGATTGCACTTGATATTGATATGAAGACTTACAGATGAAAAGGGAGTTTCTTCATTCAAAGATTAACATAAATTTGGTTCAGTATTTCAGCAATTGTAATACTATATTGAAGATAACACAAAGTATTATCTTTATACATACTGTTGAATAGTTCTATACAACATCAGTATGATTATTATTAGTCAGTAATGGCCTAGTTCACCATACCTTTGATCCAGACAATTAGATTACAGAAACGACAATAAAGGCATGAATATCATATTGAAATGTCCGAGAATCCCTCAAAAAAATCAAAAAAGAACATAGAAACACAACTATAACATACTTCATCAAATAACTGTAGAAGAGCTGTTAAAACATCTGGATGAGCTTTCTCTGTTTCATCAAATAGAACTACTGCATTAGGACAGGCAGCTAGAGCTCGTGTCAGTTGACCGCCTTCTTCATGACCAACGTAACCAGGAGGGGAACCAATGAATTTGGAAACCTGAAAAACAAAGGATTAAAACAATGACAAATAGAGTTTACATGAAGCACTCAGTAGTAATAATTAGGAAATGAATATCTACGGCTAAAATTCACCGGCATTATACAACTAAGCACTTCTGGATAAGTTGAGTAACTTCAAGTGAGACTATTTAAGTAAGGCTTTTTAAACTCATTTCTGTGTCGTACATTAAAAGTCTAACTCATAAAATAGTGGCTATGACTAACAGAGAAAGTTCATGCACTACTGTCTTCTTCTATATGCTGAGACACACAGATAGTGAAACTTTGACATTTTTAGTGTCTCTTTGATAAGCCACTTCGGAATGCTGACAAAGAGAAAAAGATAAAGTCCCATCTTATATATGTGGGATCATGTTGTCTTATCATATTGTGCCACAACAGTATGCAGCAATCTTGCAAACTTAACATTAACTTAGATATGCTCTAACCGTTAATGCTGAACAGCAAACAATTCGAAATCTTATGTCATAATAATTGCATCAGTACTGGTTGGAGTGTACCAGACAATTTTGCGTCTATACATGAAAATCCAGAGGAAAAGATTAGAGCTTCAGTAGAAAAAAGAAACCGGTGCGTTGTATTTGACGCCACTGAACACAAAAGCCAGAAAGTGAAAGATTTTCCAGTGCGAAGTTGTATTCCATATCTCTCAGACCCGGCATATACGTGCTGAAAACATTGAAAAGTAATGTCATGTGATCGTAAACTTTTCTATCCCTACAGGTTTTCTAGCACACCACGGCAACACTATGAACCTGGAGAGAATAAAGGAAGAAGATCCTCATGTAAAATCATCATCTCATTATACACTGAACTGAATATGCCGTTTCGAAAGCTTGAGTAACTCTCACTATCCGTTGACCGTGAAAGTAGTCGGAAGAGAAAGAGGACGGAAGCCGTGAAAAAAAGAAAGACAAACCATATCGACCTACGTTACTACGATTTCCAAGAGGTGGGAAAATCAATAGCAATCAAATTTCAGTCTCTATTTCTCTTCAACTTTCCAAACACAATCCAATAATGATTAAAACTATTTCAGTATGCAGCAGCGGAGTGATTTTTCAATAATTTACCTATCTATCTTCTATTCCTTCATATCTGTGCTGCATACTTTAATGTCTACGATATTCCCGATTGTTGTTTGGAATAAAAAAAAAACCAACATTGGTTAACCATTTCAATGGTTTTAATTACATTTTTATTGTGATTTTACTCATGTTTTAATTGTGACCATGTTACTCAATATGACTACTCATATCAGTCTTCATAGCTAGGATTATCGACTATTATTATTATTATCAAAATCAGAAAATCAGTCGATTTTTCTTTTGACTGTATGTAGGCTTACAAAGAATGAAATACGTGGCTCATACACCACGTGAAATCTAATCGAAGTCTAATCTAATGTCTTCGTGAAGTGTAGTGCATACAATATACAACATAGTATGATCATATATGCATAAGAATTATAGTAAATATATGCATTACACTAGATTAAAATACTCATGCAAAAGTGAATGAAGTTCTGGAGTGCCTTTTAAGATCATTGAGCTACCTAGAATGATGTTCACATTGCAAACCTGACTGACAGAATTCAGTCTGCACCAAACAAAGGACTAGACACATCACACTAGTTACTAGTGTCCAATCAAAATATCCACTACAATCCTACAGGAGGTCAATCGCGAGCCCGAATAGCTCAGTGGTAACGTCTCTGACTGCAGCACTCACTAGGTGACGCGGGTTCGAATCTCATAAGGGACATGAGTTCCTTCAAGGTTGCAGATACGCCTTGCTGACCAGTGCCAACTAGCACGAAACCTAGGTCAAGCAAGGCTTCCTGTGGCCTATTGCCTCCAACCATCTAATATCATCAAGCCATCTTAACACAGTTAAAATTATCCGGAACATTATTACTAAGGCATATAGTCTTATTTATTTAAAATGATAAGACTATAAGTGAAGCAGAGTGCATATGCTTTTTATTCTAATGTATGTGAATAACTCAAGAACATGTATTATACCATTAGCCAAGTGTATTTGACTTCCATGTGAATAATAAGGGCCTGCAGATACATTGAAATGTATATTCCGATACTAAGTTACGACTGACGGTATACGGAATGCTTTTGTGTCACTTAAAAGACATACAATTTATGAGTGAACTATTATTTGGACATATTTATCATAATGTACTTATAAATAGCCTGGCTACATAGCGTTTACCGTAAGTCTACCTAACTCAAAATTTTGTTTGAATGGCTGAGCTATATATATTCTACCATTGGCCGTATTAGGATTGTATACTTCACTTTTTAAGCACATGAGAAAATGTGAGCTTGAAGTGTGACTAAAAGTGAAGTGTTGCGAAGTCATTCAAAAGACGTAGGATTACGAGTGAACTAGGGTTCGGACACACCTATTCTAATGCATTTGAAAAGCCTAGAAGCACGTCGTTAATTTCCAGTCAGCAAGCTTGAGATAGAAAGCTGGATTTAGTCGCTTGAATGGTTGATATTATAGTCATCTGAATTTTGTCTGACAAACTTTAATCACATGAATTCAGAACATTCACGAAAGTACATGACCAATAAGTATTAAAAGGGTGATATAAACTCCTAAACAAACAACAAAAAATTATTCCCTATAAAAAAGGAGTGCTTTTAATACACACAGATGCCTAGATTAACAAAACCATAAAAAAGTTTTCAAGGAGAAAAATATTATTTCAACAAAAAAATAAGTAGAATAATACATAGTCATGTGAATAAATGCAAACCACTAGTGCTTAAATGTCAGTTCATAAAATTGCAGTACCCCAGTGACAACATCAGCGAAATAATAACACAGCGCCTGAAGAATGCAGTTAAAAGAACTTATTATGCAGCAGAGGTACGTTGTCTCTTCACAACCATTCCTAGTCTATGTTCGAGAAATAAGGATAAACTACCTAAATTTGCCTCATCTATGTGTATCTACCAGTTTGACTGCAGCTGTGGAGCCAGCTACATTGGGCGTACAATTAGGCAGGTTCATCATCGTATTTCCGAACATCTTCCAACATGGTTAAGCAAGGGACAAACAAGATCTATTCGTAGCTCTATTGTAGCACACCTTGTAGATAGTGAGCATAAGGTTGACGTTAATACTGCATTTAAAATTATTTATCGCATTCCGACTAATCTTAATTTTGCTCTACGAGTTCATCTTCTACATACAGCTGAAGCAATAGGAATCCACCTGAAGAAGCCAAACCTGTATGTTCAGAAGAAATTTGTACAGCCACTTTCCTTACCTTGGCCATCGTTACATGAATGTATAAACCGGACTACTTCGCCCCCTCCCCCTAAACCTTTAAAAATTATGACTGTCCAAATTATTTTATTTTTTCTGACCACTTCATCTTTAATTACGTGTTATCCTTGTAAAAGTAATTTATTCTAACCATTTCTATCTTTCAAATGTGTATTGATTTTCTTCATTAATTATCACCCATTGACATTTTGACACTGACTAATTATTGTTAACAAACATATCGCCACTTGTTTGGTAAACTGTTGTGTATTGTAATAAAAATGCTATGTATATTAGAGTAGAGCCAGAGATGAGGATCTAATTGAAAAGTAAATATTTCTTCGCTCAGTCTTTCAGTTTACATTTTGTCCCTAATCTCGACATCAGTTACGAAATCGTTGATATCGGCGATTTACACTGACATCAAAATAAATACAATAGTTACACTTAAATAACGCTGTTTACAGAGGTGTAATTGCAGACCAATGGGTATGAAGAGTAATTGTGTAGTAGGATTAAGTTACTTATTTTGCAATTAAGTGATTTCACTTTGAACAGGATACATTGTATATCAATATTGGCTTTGTCTAGGTCAATAAATCAGTCAAATTAATCCGAAGTTATCCTGATTGAAATTTAAGAGGGATGTTTTCAATCAAGTAGAAAAGCTGTTCTATAAGTCACCATAAGCCTTAGTTTTTTTCACAGGCAAACACTTTGTATATGTGTACATGTGTGAGGTTTTACTGTAAATTAGTGTATTTCATTGTGGTGAAGTGAAAAAATAATGAAACAAGGTGAAGTGTATGTAAAAACATGTAAATATACACGCACACGAGTGTACAATTTTCAAAAATATTCTCTACTTTGAATTGTTGAGACTATGGGGGGAGATTTCTTGTAGGTGTTTAGATTGATTTCAATGTAGTTTCCATCTTGAACCAAAATCAGTTAGAAATCATTAAAAACCAGGGAGCACTGGATTGGTGTTTCGTCCCAGTTCGGGACTCTACAGTAGTTAATAGCCATGTGTCCGCCAAGAATCGAACCTGGGACCTACAGATGATGAGATCAAGATTATAGACCATTCCAGCCACACCTACACTGGAATTCAATAATCCGCGTGAATTCTGACTTTGTTTGCATTATTCTTCCTAAAGTTCATTGAGCATATTTAGTATCTTTAAAGTATCCTATGCTTTAGCATACATCAAATTATTTAAATAAATGATACAGAGAGTTCTAACATACAACGACTGTACTTGAATATAAAATTAATCATTAAACTATATCTAACTTTTACTGTACACATAAACAGTAATCAGAGTTGACAAATGAGATCAACGAGTCCGTTTCAAACGATAAATTTCAGATGCACCATTCTACATTTGTTCAATGCTTTTGCGTTTAGCTATAAGAAAACGTAGGGACGTTATTCTAATAAACCGAAATGATATATAAAAGAGAACTGATCAAGTTTAACACAGTTTAAGGTTAGAGTGAAGCACTTTACTGGTTGCACATAGCTTTAATATTACTAATGAAATATTTCATAACGCTACGTGTGATAATACTGATGATTACTGCTAATATTCTAGCGGGTTTCGTAAAACGAACAAACTGAACTGATATCAGAAGATAGTACAACTTGTCATCAAATTCACCAAATTCTTCAGCATGAAA